TGACCAATTTTATTAGTCTATTCCTCTCTCCCAACTCATATGACTCTTTTACTAATAGTGAAGAAACCCTTCATTTATAGTAACCGTAGCAATACCTGTTAAAGCGTCATTATTTAATGCTTGAATTGCATTTAAATTGTTCATACCAGTACCATCAAGAATATTATCACATTGCCAGTTTCTACTTTTGATCTCGTTTTCATACCAGGTTTTTGCTTCACCAACTATATATGATATACCTAAATTATATGCTTCTGCTCTACCAGCAACTTCTCCTGCACCAGCTATAATATTTATTCGAGATGCAATTACAAATCTCTTAAATTCTAAAATCCAATCTGATGGATCTTCTCCAGCTTTTCCAGTAAAAAGAGGTGATTCATTTCCTATCATGTTCAATATTTGTATCTGAGGTGGATTTAGTAATAGATTATTCTGTAAATATAAAATTTGTCCTTGTAAATTCAAAATTAATTGCTGTGAATTGCGTTCACTATTTTTTCACTTGATGTGACTTGCCTTCTGATCCTTGAATTTATTGTAATATCTATCAAAGATTCGATCTCGATTATATTCTAATAATTCTTTATCAGTTTGGTATTGTTGTAGCTCCTGTTCTAAGTAATGAATAAATACCTTATAAATAATTTCAAGAATGCATTTGAGTTTTGACTGTTCATCCCATATCAGACTTGCATTAAATCACAAATGTCCTCACAAATTATATCTTTATTGGCTGTTATTAAGATACCAGCATCTCGGATGTGATTTTCAATTCGAGTTAAGCCTCGATCAATTTGTATAAAAAGGTCAAGATTCATCATATTTGTATCATCTTCTGAATTATATAAACTTGGAGAGCTTCTTCTCGAAGAAATAACTTTGAATCTATGCCTTAAATTTTGAACCCGCTCTTCCAATTCTTATAATTGCTTCTCTATACTATCAATATAAGATATCTTGTCTCAGACCTCCTTTTTAGCTTGATATAAGCTTTTTTTAAGGGATGATATTTCTGATCTCAACTCTGCTTTTTCTTCCTCCAAAGCATTCTCAAGTTGTTCCAGTTCTTTATTGAGAGATTGAATTTCATTCTCATACCAGATATATTTATGTTCCAGATCCTTTATATATTTCTCATTCAACTTGTTGATGGCTACCTCCGATTGTAATATCTCCTGGAGTTCTTGATTAATTTGTTCCAGCTCGAGTTCTTTATCTGTAGCTGATCTATGAGTTGTTCGATTGGGAGATTGGGATCTACAAAATGCCATGGTTATTATGAAGTAATGTGACTCTGTCTCTATTTTTTACGGCATATTATATTATCTTGACTTTGCTATAATAAGTAATATCAAAAATGAGTAGGTTCTTAGACCATGCTTCATATAGATTGAGCATGCCTATTATTAGAATCGATCCAGATGAGAAATTGCAAATTGTTCTGGGTATGCTTTTTTACTGACCTATTAGTTATCATTCCAATGCAAAAGCTTTAAGAGACGCATGTAAAAAAGAAGGATATAAATTCCCATATAAAAAAGTTCGTGAATGGTTACATAACTAGAATGAATGACAAAAGTATGCTTCATCACCGAAAAATATTTCACGAGTTAGTTATGGTAAAATTTCACGTCTGAATTGCGTATATATGTGTGATTTATTGCACCTTACAAATGATATTGTTAATAAAAAGACATATAAATGGGCACTTACTATTATAGATGTTGCATCACGTTTTAAATGCACTGTTCCTCTTACATCGAAAAATAGTTCCAAAATTGCTAAAGCATTTAAGAAAATTTATGATAATCCAAATAATCCTCTTACGTATCTGACACTTCTACAATATAATGGTGGTAAAGAATTCATGGGTGAAACTGCTCGATTAATGAAAGCGCATAATATCACAATTCGAGTAATTGGTGCTTATAGTCATTGTGGATTAGCTCTTGTAGAATGATTCAATAAGACGTTAACAGAGATGCTTTATAAAATTCAGTATGCTGTCGAATCAATATCTAAAAATTCTAAATTAATAAGAGAGTGGGTCAAGTATTTGCCAGAAGTAATAGATTATCTTAATAATTATCCAACACGTCTCATTCGAGCTTTGGGTTCATCAAAATAGGGTTTAGCTCCAGCAAAAGCTATTAAACTGGAACGAGTAGAATCTAGGTCATCTACAAAGTATAAGTGTCTCGTTGGAAAGGATGAGAAAAATAAGTTAAAAAAAGGGGATAATGTTCGTTACCTGCTTGTTAATGCAGAGTGAGAAGGAGGTATGGAAAATCAGAAGCGCGTGATGGATCCCACATTCAGTTCAAGCATTCATAAAATTCGTAAAATTGTGATAACGAAGAATGAACCAGTTTTATATTATCTTGGAAGCGATGACGATGAATATTCACCAAAGCGGAGATTTGTGCGAGAGAAGCTCATGCACGTAGATCTAGAAAAACTTCAGTATCCGTCTCAGAGTATATTGGAAGAAAAAACTCATTTCAGATCTATTAATTTTGTTCGTATTATTAATAAAATAGCTAAAGCTGAAGAGTATGCAAAGAAGCGTAATGGAAAATGTCTTGGTAAAACTGGCCAAATAAATGATTTTGATGTATATCTCTGGTCTTGTGAAAATGAAAAACATCAGTGGAAATATTCATATCCATTAATAGCTATGAAATTTGAATGATGTCCAATTTGTTTCCATCATAATGATGAGTGAAGATGTAGATATATTTTTGAGAATCTGTTGGGTAAGAAATTTTCATCTTGTAAACCGTCATTTTTGAATGGGATGCAATTAGATGGATATAGCGAAGAATTAAAATTGGCATACGAATTCCAGGAGTCTCAACATTTTTCTGAAAATTCAATATTCCATAAGCAAGACAAGATAGATTTAGATGAGCAAAGGAAGCGCGATCAAAAAAAGCAGAATATATGCAAGGTGTGAGGTATAGATCTTATTGAAATACCGTATGATGCAGATTTATATGAATTTATCCAAAATATTTTAATTGAAAAAGATTATTTACAGGATAAAATATAAATTTGTAAGATAAGTACTGATGACATATATTAAAATTCACCCTCTAAACTTACCCGAAATATTGACCGAAATCTTTCTCCATTTAGCTAAAGACAAAACATTATATTCAATTTTATTTGTTAACCAGTTATAATATAAGTGTTCTGCACCTATATTATAGAGAGAGATTGAATTTTACGGTAGTAGAAAAAAACCATCTATTTGTTGGAATAAATTCGAACATGTAATTCACACAAAATCTTTTTTATGCTTCGAAATTAGTTGATTTTTGTATTTCTGGTTGCAAGATATCTGATAGAACCTTATATCAAATTCGAGATCAGTGTCCAAATTTGCAATATTTAATAATAGTCCGTTGTTATGGATTTTCTAGCAAGATTTTAGGAAAAATTGTAAATCCTAATTTGATCCATCTTAGATTATACAAAAATATAAGAAAATATTGGCATATCTAAGGATGCTTGCCTAAATCCTTTCAGAAAAATATCGTCATAATTTCGACGGGTTACACACTAATTGTTAATTAGAATTTCGACATAATTTCAGTTACGACGGGTTTCAAAATTCGTCAGAATTTCGACGGGTTATTTACTAATAGTTTATTATAATTTAGACAGTCACTAAGGGATTTCGGCAAGCAACCTTAGACATATCAGTGATGAAATTATTAGTGAAATTGTAGCAACATGTTCAAATTTAGTACATTTACATATAAGTTATTGTAAAAAAATTACAGATATATCATTAATTAAAATTGCAAGAAAATGCCAAAGAATAGAGTATATTAATATAGGTGGATATAAAATTTCTGATAAATCATTAAAAGAAATCACCAAGTCTTGTCCAAAACTTCAATATCTTCACCTACTTAATTGTAATTATATCTCTGATAGTGGAATAATAGAAATTGCAAGCTCGCATCCTAATTTACTTAGTCTTTCTTTTGAAGGTGAAGGTTCCGAAGGTGGTAAAATTACAAACTTATCTATAAAAAAAATTGCCGAATTATATCCCAAACTTCAATATTTTAATGTATCTGAACAGGAGAATATAACTGACGAATCTATTTGCATATTACTACAATTATGTCCCAATTTGCAAGAACTTATTCTTGAACAATGTAATATTACTAATGCAACTATTAATGCTATTATAAATTTACATCACAATCTTCAGAAACTTAATATCATATATTGTAACCAGATTTCAAGAAATGCAATTTTAAGTATAAAAAGTTTTAATCCTGAAATTAAACTTCGAAGTACTAAATTACTAGTTATTCGCGATTAAATGCAAATTATATAGAGCAGAATACACATGCAATTTATTTTCCAATATAATAATTAACTTAATCAGAATGAAAGAGAAAGGCATGCCTATATTTGTATATGCCATCGATGAGACATCTAAAAAATTCTCAGAATGAATGAAAGGCAACAAATTTAGTTCAGATGCCCCATTCAGATTACTGGTATGTGACAGATCCAATAGTGGAAAAACTAACATGGTTATAAATCTCATGCTTGGTAACAAACTACATTGCATGTTTAAAGGTAAGAAAGGAAATCATTATATCAAAAACAATGATCTCGTATTAATAGGCAAGCATTTTGAGCTGAAATGGCAACTTGTACAAAATAGCTTTCAGATTTTTGCGAATGCACCTAAACCATATTGAGAGGATGTTACATTTAAAAGGATATCTCCAGATAAAATTCCAGATATAATCAAATTCTTACCGGAGCGAAGTACAATTTTTGTTTTTGAGAATCTATGTGCCGAACCCAAAAAAGTGCAAGAACGAATTATTCCTTACTTCATTAGTGGCTGACATCAAAATGTCTCACCTATATATGTGAGTTAGAAATATACACAAACACCTAAAATTATTCGTGAAAATATTTCACATTTATGCCTATTTGGGGATCAGGTAGTAGAGACGATATTAGTAGAATCGTACGTCAATATACAGATGATCCAAAAAAAGTATCCAAGATTATTGATAAGCATTTGCAGGATCGAGAATTCGTGATTTTTGATTTTACCAAGGCAGTAGATGATCCACTTGCTATTAGATTGGGTTGGGATACATCTTTAAATCTTATATGATTTCAGATATTTTAGAAATTTTTCTGCCTCTTGCAATTCTATCTTCTTTTCTTCAATCTCACATCATAATTTCCCATTCACTTTAATCCAATTCTCATGTTCTATAGTAATTTCTCGCATAAATTGCCAAAGTAATCGCTGACATAAAATATCTATTTTGGATGTGTGGATCTACATTTGGAATAATCATTGCATGAGTATAGAATCTATTTCGGATGTATTACAAATA